TCTGACCATGCAGGATTCAGCCGCTCTGTGTCAGATTACTCCAGCCATGTCCTGGAGCGTCAGAGTGTTTTACTTCTCCTGGGTGTCAGTTTGGCAGAAGGGAATGCCTCCTACACGCTGTCCTTAAAGGTAGGGGTAGAAGGATTTTGATATGCTCCTTTGAGATCTTACAAAACAAGGGAAGCGCTGTAGAGGTTCCAGAAAAAGTGTCAGTCCTCACTTGCGTTCTCCCTAGCATGGCCTAGATTTGATTCCTTTGAAGAGTTCAGGCAGGACCTGTGAAATTCAGGTGATCGAACTCTGTCACTCTCCCCTTGTTCAGTGTGGGAGACTTAATTTTTGTCTTGACCCCCCACATAGCTCTGGCCATCCAGGACTTGCTTGGAGGAGACGCTGACCAAACAGGTATTCATTATTTTGTGTATGATAGCTGTTACTATAACCCTTGCTTTCAGAAGGAAGCTGATTGCCAAATCCAGCAACAATGAACATTCACGGTATCTTGACGATACCTCGTGTTTTCATTATGTTTACCTCTAAATAACTACAAAGCATTTAACAGACATACATTCTTATTAAGACCTAATTAATTCCCGTGGTACTCATGGGAAGCAAAGAGGAGCTGGGTCATATTCTTCCCACTTTAAGAGGTGATAATTAAGCCCGAGTCACACACTATGTGAAGAGCTAGGACTACAGTGCAGCTCTTGACAATGGTGCTGGGCCTGCCAGCCGGTACTGCATCATTCTGCTGATGGCATCGGCTCGTCAGACCCAGATGAGCGACCGGTCAGAAACGTCTGATTTCAAAATCCTGTTTAAAAAAAGATTTATTTATTTTGACAGAGAGAGAGGTGGAGGGAGGGGCAGAGGCAGAGGGAGAGGGAGAATCTCAAGCAGACTCCCCGCTGACCACAGAGCCTGACTTGGGGCTCCATCTCAGAACCCTGAGGTCATGACCTGAGCCGAAATCAAGAGTCGGAGGCTTCACCGGCTGTACCACCCAGGCGCCCCTCAAAATCCTTTTTAAATGTACACAGCAGATTGTGAAGGGTGGTTGCTAATCAGAGAAGGAGGACACAGCAAGGACATTTCCATTTCTAGTAGTTTACCCTTTTTAAACAAAAATGCAGCAACAGAAAAGAAGGGGAAGAGTATAAATTACAGTGCAATAAATATTTACTGTTGGCTCCCTGGTGCCAAATCCTGTGCTAGATACCATGGAAGATGAAATATAAATATATATCCTCGTTATGTCATTTCATATGTAAGTTGGAGACTCAAGACTTACCAGTATGAAATATACAGAGAATTGTAAAAGTCATAATATAACGTATATGCGTGCCAAAATGTATGTATAGGAGGCTGCACTGTCCTGGAAGGCAGAGACGTCTTTATGAAAAAGGTGGAATTGAAGAGCGTTGAAACAGTAGTAGGACTGGTTCAAGTGGACAGTAGGAATCCGGGGAGAGAGGATTCCACGAGATAAAAGCGTTAGTGAATAGAGGTGGGGTCATTCTTGCTACTCTCTGGAAGAGAAACTTAGCAGCTCTCAAGCAGTCATTTCCTGATAGGTGGACAGAAGGCAAAAAAGCCACAGGCTAAGGGGACAGAGTAAACAAGTGCTCAGAAGACAGAGGCCAACTTCCCAAGTTCCTGTTAATACCCTAACCCCTGGTTCCATCTCTGCCTGAGCCTCAGATGCACCCCTGATTTACCCCAGTGTCTTCAAATAAATTTCCAGTTTTTTGTTGACCAATAGCAGGACCTAAGCCTTTACTGAGTCCAGGAATCCTAGCCGTGGGCAAAGGAATGAGCACAGAGGGTTGAGGCTTCCCAGATCCAAGCCCCAGGGTTAAAACCTTGGAACCAGCTGTTGTCTGCAGCTGGCTTTTCTGGTCAGCCTTGGTTTGGAAACTAAATTGTGGGCTGGCCAGATGAGTTTCAAGGACTGAGGGGGCCCTTGAGGTCTTGTTGCTGCTCCTCAGGCTTTGTGGCTCCAGATTCTTCCCACTGAGACAAATTGCCATGGACACACAGAAGCCTCCTTGCTTCTGGAGCACTTCGCAGACTTTGACGACAGTTTGGTGAGTCATGGCTGCTCAGTAAGGGTTCAGCTGGACAGAACCACCACATTTTTTTTTTTTTTTGGTAAAGATTTTATTTGAGAGAGAGCACGAGAGAGAGAGAGCATAAGAGGGGAGAGGGTCAGAGGGAGAAGCGGACTCCCCGTGGAGCAGGGAGCCCGATGCAGGACTCGATCCTGAGACTCCGGGATCATGAACTGAGCTGAAGGCAGAGGCATAACCGACTGAGCCACCCGGGCGCCCAGAACCCCCGCCCACATTCTTAATCAACTAGGTTACCTTCCAAAGGTAGAAGAATCATTCATCTGGAACTAAACCACCCACCTCAGAATAGTTGTTCTGGCAAATGAACTGTTTTCCCCAGTATTTGCTCTTAGTATTATTTTAAACATATTTTAATGACAGATTGTGACTTGGAAGTGATTCATTTTTATTTCATAGTTGTCTTGACAACAATGTAATTTATGACATTTTATGTGCTTGAGAATCCTAAAATTTTACAATGTGTTGCTTATTAAAATTCTGATAAAAAACGCAGTGATAAAATTCTTTAGGGTTGGTGGACTAAAGAAAAGAACTATTTTTACTAAACCTTTTTTCTTTTTTGGTCACAAACAGTAGTCACTTAAGGACCATTAATTAAATTTAATTTCAGGGAGCCCCAACTCAAGTCTCTTCTAGTCGCTTCACCCAGAATTTACTTGTATTGCCTTTGCAATTTCTTCTTAGATTTTTAAATTATAACTTTCTCTCTGGATTACTTCATGAAAACGGAATAAAGTGGAAATAGTTTTATATCTTGCTTTTTCCCATATCTTACATAGTCTTAAAATTACTCATGGAAATAATTTAGGAAGATTTGTATTATGAAAAATTTCAAACATACAGAACACTAAGGAAAAATTACAAGGAGCAGTCTAGAAAAACCACTTACAATCAAGCACTGTTAATATTTTGCAAAACTTAAGTTTACCGTTACGTTTTTTGGGTTGGCGGTGGGGGTACATTTTAAAGACTCCTTGACACCGTCTACACCAGATGCTTACCTGAACCGTTTTGGGGTTTTTTTGTTTTGTTTTGTTTTCTGGAAGTCCCAAGCTTAAGGGACACTGCATAAAAAACACTTCTGAGAAATCAGCCAGTCTTCCGGCATTCCTTTAGTCTGAAAAAATTGATATCACAAGAAAGCAAGGCCTCTTTTCCACCTTAGGTGCAAAGGGACGAAAATACCCAGTAGGGCTACTATGACTCAGAGTTGCCGTCAGCAGACACTCAAAGGCTGAGTTTAACGGACTTTCAGCTGTTACTCTGAAGCCGCGCGTGACAATTGCACTTTGGTAGCCGCCCGGGGAAGGGCGGGGCACGCGGCCTCGGTGCGCATCCCCGCCCGCCCGCCGGCTGCACGGTGCGATTTTCCTGCCTGTTGTAAAGCGGGGCGCCTCCGGCCGGGTCGAGCAAAAGCAGTGAAAGGCCCGCCAGAAGCACCCGGAGGGCCCCACGCGCAGACTTGGTTCGGCAGGCCCGGAACCTCGCACTAACAGAGTCTCCGGGGGTGACGGGCTGCCCGCGGCCCCCAGGAGCCCCGTGCGCCCGCTCGCTACGAGGCTCGCCATCCGGGCCGTCTAGCAGCCGCGGGGAAGAGCCGGGGCCTCACCGGAGACGCTGCCGCCAGCGCCGCCCGCCCCTCCGCAGGCCACGGGGGAGCTCGGCGGGGCCGCTGGGGAAGCGGGGTTGCCGCCGCGCGGACGCGGACCCCAGCCCCAACTTCCGCCTCTCGGGAAGGCAGAGGCAGTGCGCCCCCGCAGTCCTGCCCGCCGCGTTTCGCGGCCGCGCAGCGACTCCGCGCCCCACCGCGGGGCGGAGGCAGGTGCCGAGCGGTGACCGCGGAGGGCGTGGCTGGGAGAGCGGCGCTCGGCGCCCGCCCCGGGCCCGCCGGCCGGGCGGAAGATGGCTGCCCCGAGCGCCGCGGACAGTCACGTGCCCGGGCGCTGCCGCCGCGCGCCCCCTCCCGCGCTGGCCCAGTCCGCGACCCCGCGGCAGGCGCAGTCCGGGCGCCTGTCCACCACGGGGATGCCGCGCGGCCCGGTCGGGGACGGGGGGGGGGGGGCGGTGCGCGGCGCGGGGAAGGCCACCTCTCCCCGCTGCCCGCCCCTAATCTGGGCGCGGGGGTCGGGCGCTCGGAGCCGGGGAAATCTTCCTGGGGGCGACCTGCACCAAGTCGGGCTACTGGGCATGCGCGGTGCTCCCGTCCCAGGACGGCCGGTCTCCGGGTTTTCCCGGCCACTCGGAGCGGCGGCGGGAGGTGGGGCCCGGGCGGGGCGGGGCGGAGCGGGGCGGGGCGGCCCGGGTCTCTCGCCTCCCAGCCGGGCTCCGGGCTCGGGCTCGGGCTCGGCGGGGCACCCAGCAGACGGCCTGATTGTTCGGGGTTGGGAGTCTGCACAGAGAGAGCCGCAGCCGCCCTTTCTTGGGATCAGCCAGGAGTTCACCCCAGTGTCGCAGAGCTCAGGGTCGCAAACTCGTTCCCCCGAGGCCCCCTGCAGGAGGCCGAGTTTGCGTTCCCGGTTCCGAGCAGCTCCGGCTCCGCCCCCGGCGGCACGCCGCCCGACCGTCAACCTCGGCTTGGTTCCGGCCTCAGGGAGCGACCCCCCCCCCCAGATCCGCAGCCGGACCCTTCTCCCAAGCTCCGTATTCCTGGAAAGTAAAGTAAGGGGCCAAGCCACGCTGCCCCTCTGGGCGCAGCCTGTGGCCCGGGTCCAATCGGGCCCCGCCGACCCCGCCCGCCTGGCCCGCCCTCCCCTACCGGCCGCCGCTAACACCCGGAGGAGCGGACTCCCGGCGCGCGGAGAGCCAGGCCGGCGCGGGCAGCGGACTGGGCATGCTCGGCAGCCCGGAGGCTCGCGGTGGCAAGTCGGAAGCGTTCGCACCAGCGAGGCAGCGGCCGGGCGGCGGCGGCGGCCGCGGGCAGGACGGAGCGGGCAGGGCGGCCAGGAGAGGCAGCGTCCCTCCGCGCACGGCGAGCCGGCGGGAGAGCGCGATCCCGCTGCGGAGCCCCGACGCTGCCCTGCCCCGGATTTCAGTGCGCGGCGTGGGGCTCGGCGAGCGGAATTCCGGCGGCGGCCGCGACTCCGGTGCAAGTGAGCTGTGGGGCCGGGGGGTGGGAGTGGAGAGCGTCGATCCCGGGGGGGGGGGGGGGGCGCCTCGGCGGGTGGTCCGGGCCGGGGGCCGGAGACTCGCGGGGGCCGGCCCCAAATCACGGCCCCACCCCCACGGCTCCGGCGGCGGCGTGACAGTTGACACCTCCGGGCCAGATCGCAGCGGGCCAGGCGCCCGGGGTTTCGGGATTCCCCCCACCCCCACCCTCTCCGCGGCCCCTCGGCGCCGGTCCCAGCCGGCATAACAGGTGGGACCCCCCCCCTCCTCCTGTCCCCGCGGAGCAAGCTGCCCTCCCCAGGCCGCAGAACGTCCTGCAGGTTCAGGGGCGGCCCCCGCCGGAGGACAGGGAGTGGGCAAGGCCTGGAGCAGCCATCGGCGCAGCCGGGACTGGACAGTGTCTCCAGGACGCGGCTGTCCCCGCGAGTGAGGGGTCCTGCGACCCCGAGGCGACTTGTCAAGGGCAGAGCGGCGGCAGCAGCGGCCGTCTCTCCCACCGTGTCAACCCCGACCGGGGCTTGCGGCTGCCGGTGGGCCGGCGAGGGCGTCCTCGTCCAGCCAACGGATTCGGGCTGGCGCGTTCTGGGCAACGCCTGCTTCCCTCCTGGGAGTCGCGAGTAAAAATCCTGGCCAGAGGGAGTGGAAGGGCTCCCTGCAGGTGCTGCTCAGATGTTTCTTTTCACCTTCAGTCACCAAAGACTTCAGTGGCACACGCTTATGAAACCCAGAGCGAAGGCTGCTTTGTGAAAGGGAAGTTTATTTTCCGCGTGAGGGGTCTGCTTACTGTTTTAGCTCCCTTGACATTTACCTTCCTTGGACCTTTCGAGCTGTTCGGACAGGTGACTCTGCTCTCAGACTCGGGGGCCTTTCGGGTTGGCTGCCTGGCTGTGGAGTGGTAAGCGCCTGTCACGGTGCGCCGGGAGCCCCCCACGCGTCCCGGTCCCGAGGCTTGAACATGCAGGGAGGACTGAGTGGGCAGAAAGAGGAGTGGGACTGGTGACGTAGCAACTCGGGGGGGGGAGTTGCCAGGGGCCGCCCCAACACGGGGGGGGGGGGCGGTGTTGGCAGCCGTTTGGGCCTGTGCAGAAGGGGACGGGGCTGGGCGGGTCTTGGTTGGGGTGCAGGCTCTCCGCGGAGGATGAGTCCCTGCCTGGCCAGTGCTCCAAGGGAAGCCCGGGGATGTTTGGTGATTCAGCAGGTGGCAGCCTTCCAGCTCTGAAGCCATCCATGCCTCGTCCGGGCCGGAGAGCCGGCCAGCGGCGGCTTGTGCTTCTGAGGCTCCGGCTTTGAGGGGACCTCCAGGGGCTGGCGTCTGCCTGTAGCCGCTCACTTGCCTTATCTCGCTGTTTGTTTGGGTCTGGAGGCCCTGAGCTTTTGGTTTTCTTAACTGCTTCTCTTCAGCCAGGTGGCACGTCTTTTTTGAGTCTCGGCAGCTCCGTGACCTGCTGGGTACGAGGAGGTGGTGCCTGCCACCGCGCACAGCTGAAAATGTAGCTGGTTACTCGGCAGCAAATGATGCCAGTATGGAAAGCGGAGAAAGCGTCTTTTCCTTCTGTTCTGCTTCAGAGACGAGAAATTTACATTTTTAATAGAATAGTAAGATGTATTTCTGTAACTCTTCAGGGCTGGTTGTAAGCATTATTTATTTTTAAAGAAATTAATTCAAGGGATGGATTAAACTAACACAGAAGGGACCCAGTTATTAAGACAGCATCTTATCCCTTGGAGGATCCCAGGCATCTTGCACAGTGCCTACCTTGTAGGTGCTCAGTAAATGCTTACTCAGCTGAATTAAAAAAACAATCTCGTCATTAAGTTTGGCACGTAAAGAACTTTATTTTCCTAAGTTGGAATTGCCTGTGTTGACCGCAGACATTCAGTTTTCACTTGAAAACTCAATCCTTTCCCTTTTCTTTCCTGGTTAAGTCCCTTAATTTTCCAGATTGTGGCAGATCCTGTATTCAGCTGGAAAAAAACCCGCATGCTTTGCTCACATATCTCATAAAAACCTAAAGGACTCGTCCTACATAGAGCTATCATACAGTTTTTTAAAAAACTAAAGGGGCACCTGGGTGGCTCAGGTTAAGCGACTGCCTTCGGCTCAGGTCATGATCCTGGAGTCCCCGGATCGAGTCCCGCATCGGGCTCCCTGCTCGGCAGGGAGTCTGCTTCTCCCTCTGACCCTCCCCCCTCTCATGCTGTATCTCATTCTCTCTCTCAAATAAATAAAATAAAATAAATATAAAAAAATAAAAAGTAAAGCATACTTCTGTTGCACATCAAATGTGCTTTATCTGTGAAACTTTATTTTGTACAAAGCATTTCAGGAAGACTCTTTAGAATTCCTAAACCTTTACCGTCCAGTGAAAAGTGAGGCTGTGTAAAAGACAAAACCGTGTTTGGGGAATAAGAATTTGGCTTTGTTTGCACAGGGGCATCAGCTCCCTCGTCCTTGGGGGAGGTGTGAGTGTTGGGCCAGCTCATGCTTATGCATCTTTTTAAACTTTGTTCTGCTCCTTCCTGCAGTTGTTCATCTGCTGCTTCTTTCCCTAAAGACATACTTTCCTGGCATGGGCTTGGCTTGCTTAAAGCTGCTGCTGGAAGGGTCTTTTGCATTTTCTCACATAAATTCAATCAGCTGTGGTTTTTATTTTCTGATTGTCCCCTGCACTGTGGAAGCCACTTCGTGGGGTGAACTGTTCTATGGTCCTTGGAAAAAGCTGTGTCCGGTGTGCTCCTGAGGGGACATGACAGATTATAGATGGGTTTTTCTTTGCCCCCCCCCCTTTTTTTTGGTTGGTAGCTATAAGCAGTCTCTTTTGGAAGAACTGTTACAGCATGCCTGGTGTTAAAGGCCCTGGCCTTTCTGTTACAGGCTCTTGGTCAGGAATATAAGTGGTCAGTTATTATCTCTGACCACGTTCTGAGATTTGTGGCTGTAAAGTTTGTCAGTTGATAAGCTCGTCTGTCACCAGATGATCTGCCCGTCTGGATGTGGGAGCTGGGAAGCAGAGTGGGATGTAGGGGAGGGGAGGGTGAAGAAAGGGGAAACAAAGGCTTGTGGGCCAGGAGGAGGGCTTGGTTTTCTAACTGACTTCTGGTTTCACTGAAACAGACTTGACTGCTGGCCACAGGCATGGCTGAGTCTCTCCCCTCCGGAGGCTTTCTTACCTCCACAAATAAAGCACTCTCTGCTCGCCCCACAGACACACACACACATACAGACAGACACGCACACTGAGAAAAGACAGAGGTGTGGACACACACACCCTTTGCCGAGCGCCTAGAAGCTCAGCTTTTTTTATGTGCTAATATGTCGCAGAGGGAAACTCCAGGGCTCAGGAGCAGGTTGGGTTCCGGGGGCCTGAATTCCTCCAAGCTCGTCCATCAGAAAGATCCCCTCTTCCTCTCTGAGTGCTAAAGGGATCTGTTCCCTAGCCACTGTGGAAATTGCTGGGGGCTTCCACTGTACGCAAAGGCAGGCGAGTAGGTACTTAGGGCTGCTCTGGTGGTTTTCACCTTTCAGACGTCGAGGTGCTGGGTGGTCAGCGTGCCTCCGTGGTTGGCGCAAGACCCTCTCCTTTCCTTCTTTGACGTTTCCCCTTCATTTTTACTCCCATTCCTCTCCCCGCCAGAGGAGCCTCCTCTTCTGGGTTGGATATATTCTTAGGTATGTTTGTGTCCTCGTTAAAGGTGTTATTTTGTGCGTGTCTTCAGTTTACGTAAGTGGTCCTGTGCTATAGACTCCTTTGGTGTTCTGTTTCATTCAACACTCAACCTTTTTATTACGGAAATCTTCAGACATTCACAAAAGCAGGAAGAATTTCATTCAAGACTTTGCGAGATCTGTGTTAGTGTGGGCTTATCTAGGGCTTTGCTGTGCATCCTTTAGTTTTGTTACCCGTTTCCCTGGCGAGGGACACTTAGCTCACCTCATTCAGGCAACGCTGTGATGAACATCCCGTATGCGTTCTTTTCAAGATGGGTGTGAGACGTCTCTAGGGTAGTGCTTCCTCAAGTGGTCCACGCGCAGGAGCCACAGGGGCAGCGCCGGGCACCTGCTGGAAATGCAGATTCTGAGGCCCCAGCCTAGACCTGAATCAGAAACCCTGGGGGCAGACCCCATGAGCTTGTGTTGTAACGTGCCCGGGCTGGCGATGGCGGTAGCTGGGACGGTTTGAGACCCGCTGTTGCAAGGGCGCGTGCCTCGGCGTGGAGTGGCTGGCTGGAACGGAACGAGCACAGCTGTTTTGACTAAATGCTGCTAGATTGTTCTCCTCTTGGGTGCATGGGGGTCCCTGATTCCCTACATTCTCGACAGTGGTTGGTATTAGCCCTCTTTCTAACTTTACCCGGATTTGGTGGCTATAGTGTGGGATCTCCTCGTTTTCCTGGGAGCTTGTGTCATTTCTTAGTGAAGTTGAGCATCTTTGTTCGCTGTTAGTTTCTTACCCAGCTGTAGTCTTGTTTCTCTCCTGTGTTGGTTTGCACGTGCTTCTTGCATGTTCTAGATAGTGATCCCATCCTGCCGTCTGTCAACTTTGTCAGTAGTCACTTTCCGAAATTTTTGTTTCTGTAGAGCTCATCACTTTTTGCTTTATGTTGCACTTCAGGGGTCTGAAGATGTTCTTCCTTACCCTGGACTCACCAGGCTATTCCCTGCTTTTGTTTCTCACAGTGAGGGCTTCACTTAGCGTGAGGTTCATTTTCGCATACGGCATCGAGCAGTGATCCGGTGCCGTTTTTCCTTCCCACTTTGTGACCCAGTTTTTCCCACGTTATTAAATCATGTATCTTTCCCTTAATATTTCAGAGGAGACTGTGGAGCCGCCTCTGTCATACTTGGGGTGCACACATGAGCCTCTTTTTTAAAACTTGATTGAATTGTAATTTACGTATGGTAGCCTGCATCCATTCCAGCTGTACCATTTGATGGACTTCGACAGATGGACGCACTCCTGAAACCACGGCAGTCAAGATACCG